TTGTAGCAATGTGATATTTACGTGTAAACTCATTTAAGGTATAAAAAGACACTGGAGCAACTTCTTTTAAAACATCACATATATTGATCACACCCTTCTTGTACCAATCCTTGTAAAAAATAGGTTTCCCCCCAATACATATTTTTTTGTTATAACAGAGTGGTATTTTGGAGATTAACTCATTATTTTCCAAATTATCTCTTTGCACAATGAATTTATACCATGATTTAAAAACATCTTTCCAGAACTGATTTTTACATTTACTTATACATAACTGTATATATTCACTACCGCAATTTGCCAGCAAATCAATATCAATATAGGTTTTTAAAATAGCCTGCCATTTTTCAGTGGTTTGAGATAACCTCCTTATCCAACTTAATTTTAAAGAGCTCATGAAGGCATCTATATTAACCATCTTAAGACCTCCATTGACATGGTGTTGAACAACAACATCTCGCTTAATTTTATCAGACCCCCCCCCCCCCCCCCCATTCCATAAATATTGAAATAAAATGGAATTTAATTTTTTAATAAAGTTTTCATTTGGATTTGGAAGTGAAATAAAAAGTTGATTAAACTGTGATATAAGCAAGGATTTGATGACATGAATTCTACCAATTCTACCAGAGTTCAGGGTCCCTCTAACTTATCACAAAGTCTATCAGAGTTCAGGGTCCCACTAGCTGGTCACAAAGTCTATCAGAGTTCAGTGTCCCACTAACTGGTTACTAATTCTGCCAGAGTTCAGTGTCCCACTAACTGGTCACCCATTCTGCCAGAGTTCAGGGTCCCACTAACTGGTCACCAATTCTACCAGAGTTCAGGGTCCCACTAACTGATCACCAATTCTACCAGAGTTCAGTGTCCCACAAACTGATCACCAATTCTACCAGAGTTCAGTGTCCCACAAACTGATCACCAATTCTACCAGAGTTCAGTGTCCCACTAACTGGTCACCAATTCTACCAGAGTTCAGTGTCCCACTAACTGGTCACAAATTCTACCAGAGTTCAGTGTCCCACTAACTGGTCACCAATTCTACCAGAGTTCAGTGTCCCACAAACTGATCACCAATTCTACCAGAGTTCAGTGTCCCACTAACTGGTCACCAATTCTACCAAGAGTTCAGGGTCCCACTAACTGATCACCAATTCTACCAGAGTTCAGGGTCCCCCAAACTGATCACCAATTCTACCAGAGTTCAGTGTCCCACAAACTCATCACCAATTCTGCCAGAGTTCAGTGTCCCACTAACTTGTCACAAAGTCTATCAGAGTTCAGGGTCCCACTAACTGGTCACCAATTCTACCAGAGTTCAGTGTCCCCCAAACTGATCACCAATTCTACCAGAGTTCAGTGTCCTACAAACTGATCACCAATTCTACCAGAGTTCAGTGTCCCACAAACTGATCACCAATTCTACCAGAGTTCAGTGTCCCCCAAACTGATCACCAATTCTACCAGAGTTCAGTGTCCCACTAACTGGTCACAAATTCTACCAGAGTTCAGTGTCCCACTAACTGGTCACCAATTCTGCCAGAGTTCAGTGTCCCACTAACTGGTCACCAATTCTACCAGCGTTCAGGGTCCCACTAACTGGTCACCAATTCTACCAGAGTTCAGGGTCCCACTAACTGATCACCAATTCTACCAGAGTTCAGTGTCCCACAAACTGATCACCAATTCTACCAGAGTTCAGTGTCCCACAAACTGATCACCAATTCTACCAGAGTTCAGTGTCCCACAAACTGATCACCAATTCTACCAGAGTTCAGTGTCCCCCAAACTGATCACCAATTCTACCAGAGTTCAGTGTCCCACTAACTGGTCACAAATTCTACCAGAGTTCAGTGTCCCACTAACTGGTCACCAATTCTGCCAGAGTTCAGTGTCCCACTAACTGGTCACCAATTCTACCAGAGTTCAGTGTCCCCCAAACTGATCACCAATTCTACCAGAGTTCAGTGTCCCACTAACTGGTCACAAATTCTACCAGAGTTCAGTGTCCCACTAACTGGTCACCAATTCTGCCAGAGTTCAGTGTCCCACTAACTGGTCACCAATTCTACCAGAGTTCAGTGTCCTACAAACTGGTCACCAATTCTACCAGAGTTGAGTGTCCCACTAACTGGTCACCAATTCTACCAGAGTTCAGGGTCCCACTAACTGTTCACCAATTCTACCAGAATATCTGTAATTATCACCGGTATAAATCAACAATTCATTTTTAAATCGGTCACGTGTTCATGATCACTACCTGTCTGTAGAACCACTTGTCACACTATTTTTTACCTTCCTTTACATGGGATTATACTACAGCCGTAAACGTTGGTCGATTCTTCACCGTCTCGTACACTTCGTACGTCAGTCCTAGCGACCAGACATCAACACATTTACAGCTGCTTGTCTACCAAACCTGCCTTTGTATACCACTTGTCTAAAACGACCATCTGTATAAAGCTGTCTATAACGACATATGGTCTACAACTTCCGGGGCAGTAATGACCTAAAAACGTCCTGTCATTGTTGTTGGTTTTCGGGATAAGATGTCAGTAAATATGTGGTATAGTTTTTTTCAAACTTCCCATTTTGATTTCCGTGGTATCGGGTGAATTATTGGTGTAAACAAGAAAACACCACATTTCGTTCAGTCAATATTGTTTTATGTTGTCAATGTGTTAACTTTGCAAATATATAAAAAGAAAAACAAATTATTTCAAACAATTTTTATTTATAGAACAATAACGTAACTGTTGTACATAACTATATTGGACACATTAATATTTCTTTATATAAGTTTATATAAAATGTCTACAATGTACATGGCGCACATGAAATAAATTCTAAAATACATTCATATCTACGTAATTTCGCTATTGGGGGAAAATATTTTATCAAATTTAGTGATTTTTATAAATAAATAACTACTAAATTATTTCATATTTTATCATGATAAATAATTATTTCATGGCATCGATATCATTTATACACAAGGACTTGGCACAAGCTTCAGACTCCACGGTCCGTTCAGTTTGTACAGAGGTATAGAACCGTGGGTGTGGGAAGTTGTATCAAGTTACAATGGTATTAAGGACTTTTATCACGAGACACAGAAGATCAAACTTCTAATATCAGCAAATTCATCAAAATATCAGAGATTGTCAGAAATCCATAAAAAGGTTCCATGCCAATATTTTCAAATAATTAAATTTGATTATCATGAAGTGATTGTGTTAAGACATAAGGTAGTAAACGGACAAGGCGGGTTTTTAAAGGTGGTGAAAGAGGGGTGGGGGGGGGGGGGGGGGTGTCGACCATCACAGAGCATAACCCGAATTGTTCCCACTTACTATCGACTTTTTCAAATCCAGACCGATATATAAAAAGTAGTGTGAATGTCAGAATAACTGGTCCTACACAAAGTAAGGAGATTGTGCCCATTGAATTCTTGAATACCAAACATACATAAACATATTTTGAAACATTACAAAATAGAGTATATGTAGCAGTGTTCGGTGGAAAGAAAGTGAGTTGGAAAAGGGAGCAATTAGACGGAATCCTCAAATTAAAAAAAGAAAACCAACTGCGCATATTTAAATTTTATGAAGTCATTTCACCGCCTTAATATATACTGTACACTAACGCTAAATATTCTAAATACTTACGATTCAGACGTACTGGCTATGCAGTTGTTCTCGCGACCAGACTGTCACTAATGAATGGAATTCTGTCCTACTTTGTCTATGGTTATCAGCAGTTAATGTAAAAGTGTATGTAAACTAACAAAACTACAGCAGAAATAATGAGATAAGCTTTGCATAAACCAGCTAGGCATTTTTTTCATCAATGACTAATAGATGTGATATTTTAACATTCATAGATAACGAAATAGTTTTCTAAAAATATCTTTCTATCAGCCAATGCGTTCATCTTAGTTTAGCACTGATACAGTAGGAAGCTTGCTGAAAACAAATAAAAACTTGTGACTATGGCGAAAAAAATTTAATATTAATTATTCACAGGTCAAAAACTATAAATAGAAAAAACAAATGTGATGGACAATGAAGAACAAGCTCTAACCAGCTTCAACGAATTACCAAGCGATGCCAGGCACGATCAGCACTTACGCTACACATATACAAAATAAATTTGATTGAATATCATTTTCTACAATACCTTTAAAGACTTCCAAATCGGTTCCCTCCGATAAAAGTCATTTTGAAAGCCCGTGCAACCGAATGTCGAATTGAACCAGTAATTTCTATTTTATAATGATAAATATTGGTGTCAGGATATTCTAAAGTCGAGTATCCATCCACATCAGATTACTTGTATTTAAAAAACCTTTAAAAACAGGGCGACAGAAATTCCTCTTCGCCTAATTTCTTTAAGTGAGTTCAGATACATTCATTCAACACCAGGTTTAGGTTTGTGAGACGAGCCAAATGTCCTCAATGCACGACCCAACAATACCTTTATCTGAAACTGGTTATGCCCAAGTCGATGAGACCGCGACAAAATATTCGAGAAAAGCAATTATCCACAGGTAATATACATCTGTAGGTTTAATTCGAAGTTAACTACATATATGAACATTGGTTTGGAGATACTTGTGACCAACTGCGCTATAACGAAATCTGATTGATGTGATTACACCATTTGACAGTGAATAGTTACAGTTGTAAGCTAACAAAACCGTGATGCAGTACTTTAAAACATTTAAAACATAACGACTGCATCTGTTTGATCGAAAATTAGATTTTTTGGAATAAAATATGACAATATATAATACTAAGCGTATGTACATTGCCAATACTGATGGGATTCTTGGGTCTACCGCTGATATATAGAGCGTACTAACAGCAAAAAAAGGATCGAAATAAGAGATAGTTGTACCTTAGGAACGAGAATTATCCAGAAAACACAAAGTTTACAGAAATCATAAAAACAAACAGAAACAAAAAAAAATATAACAAAACAGTTTTCAATTTGCGACACAGTCATCGGTTGTAATTGAAATTTATCGTTTATATAATTGTTGTCCTACCGACACACTTTCCAGTCAGTGCATAAATTACCTTTTCCTGGTCTAATTAAAACCACGAAAAGTTCCAATTGACTGGTTATTCGGCGAACAAGGAATGAATTGACAAGAATCCAGTATTTATGTCATCACAGTCAAGAGGCCATCTTTGAAGACATTTTGTCACACCTCTATTGGAGATTCGATTCAAAACTCACTTCCGGTATTATCGTGGCTGACAGTCTGTGACATCAGGTTTTCTGCCGTGCACTCAACTGACATATGGCCATCATATTCAAAATGGCCGCTGTCTACTGGGATGGTGCCAAACATGGCTCATGGTGAACACAATCAGTTACCATGGCAACCTCATCGACTGGGATGTCGATTTCATACGAGTCAATTTTTCAACGGATTTTTTCCAAACTTAGCTCACCGTGTTTCCTTTGACTTTGAAATTAAACTCATTGTGAAAGTATTGCTGTCGCTCGTATCTGAAATAAAACCGATTTGACTGATTGTAATGTACACTTCCTGTCCTGCCCGTATGTGTACCCAGGAGGCCTGCACGATATCGCTTCGGATGGCTCCCACTGGAATTCCATTTTCGGTGCAAGTACGATCCTGGGTCTGGTTGATATGTACACAATGCCGGACACGGATTTCTGTTCCGGACTGAACGTCGTCATCGATATGACGCGTGTCGAGCATCAGAGTGGATGTGAAGGTGTAATAGCCATCGACTGGAACCTTGAAGGAGCCATTGTTGTATGTGATTCCTTCGTTGATATGTTTACCTCGAGGAATCCTCCATAATACCAAGTGACCTTTACCTAAAAAAGAAAGGTGTAAAATATTAGTTTACGACAACGTCAATGACATGAAAAGTAGCCTATTTATTGACGTTTTAAAGCTTCAACGTTATGGACAAGAGACGATTTGCTAATTTGTGTTTTTGGTGTTCAGTGCCTGTTGGTGATGTTTAGGTTTTGTCTTTGTTGTTCAATGCCTGTTGGTGATGTTTAGGTTATGTCTTTGTTGTTCAATGCCTGTTTGTGATGTTTAGGTTATGTCTTTGCTGTGCAATGTCTGTTTGTGATGTTTAGGTTTTGTTGTTCAATGTCTGTTGGTGTTGTTTAGGTTTTGTCTTTGTTGTTCAATGCCTGTTGGTGATGTTTAGTTGATGTCGTTGTTGTTCAATGCCTGTTGGTGATGTTTATGTTATGTCGTTGTTGGTCAATGCCTGTTGGTGATGTTTAGGTTTTGTCTTTGTTGGTCAATGCCTGGTGATGATGTTTAGGTTTTGTTGTTCAATGTCAGTTGGTGATGTTCAGGTTTTGTCTTTGTTGTTCAATGCCAGTTGGTGATGTTTAGGTTTTGTCTTTGTTGTTCAATGCCTGGTGATGATGTTTAGGTAATGTTTTTCTTCAATGCCTGCTGGTGATGTTTAGGTTTTGTCTTTGTTGTTCAATGCCTGTTTGTGATGTTTAGGTTTTGTTGTTCAATGTCAGTTGGTGATGTTTAGGTTTTGTCTTTGTTGTTCAATGCCTGGTGATGATGTTTAGGTTTTGTTGTTCAATGTCAGTTGGTGATGTTCAGGTTTTGTCTTTGTTGTTCAATGCCAGTTGGTGATGTTTAGGTTTTGTCTTTGTTGTTCAATGCCTGGTGATGATGTTTAGGTAATGTTTTTCTTCAATGCCTGCTGGTGATGTTTAGGTTTTGTCTTTGTTGTTCAATGCCTGTTTGTGATGTTTAGGTTTTGTTGTTCAATGTCAGTTGGTGATGTTTAGGTTTTATCTTTGTTGTTCAATGCCTGTTGGTGATGTTTAGGTAATGTTGTTCTTCAATGCCTGCTGGTGATGTTTAGGTTTTGTTGTTCAATGCCTGTTGGTGATGTTTAGGTTTTGTTGTTCAATGCCTGTTGGTGATGTTTAGGTTTTGTCTTTGTTGTTCAATGCCTGGTGATGATGTTTAGGTAATGTTGTTCTTCAATGCCTGCTGGTGATGTTTAGGTTTTGTTGTTCAATGCCTGTTGGTGATGTTTAGGTTATGTCTTTGTTGTTCAATGTCTGTTTGTGATGTTTAGGTTTTGTCTTTGTTGTTCAATGCCTGTTGGTGATGTTTAGGTTTTGTTGTTCAATGCCTGTTGGTGATGTTTAGGTTTTGTCTTTGTTGTTCAATGCCTGGTGATGATGTTTAGGTAATGTTGTTCTTCAATGCCTGTTGGTGATGTTTAGGTTTTGTCTTTGTTGTTCAATGTCTGTTTGTGATGTTTAGGTTTTATCTTTGTTGTTCAATGTATGTTGGTGATGTTTAGGTTTTGTCTTTGTTGTTCAATGCCTGTTGGTGATGTTTAGGTTTTGTCTTTGTTGTTCAATGCCTGTTGGTGATGTTTAGGTTGTCTTTGATGTTAAACGTCTGGTGGTGTTGTTTAGGTAATGTCGTTCTTCAATGCCTGTTGGTGTTGTTTAAGTTCTGTCTTTGTTGTTCAATGCCTGTTGGTGATGTTTAGGTTATGTCTTTGTTGTTCAATGTCTGTTTGTGATGTTTAGGTTTTGTTGTTCAATGTCAGTTGGTGATGTTTAGGTTTTATCTTTGTTGTTCAATGTATGTTGGTGATGTTTAGGTTTTGTCTTTGTTGTTCAATGCCTGGTGATGATGTTTAGGTAATGTTGTTCTTCAATGCCTGCTGGTGATGTTTAGGTTTTGTCTTTGTTGTTCAATGCCTGTTGGTGATATTTAGGTTATGTCTTTGTTGTTCAATGCCTGTTTGTGATGTTTAGGTTTTGTTGTTCAGTGCCTGTTGGTGATGTTTAGGTTTTATCTTTGTTGTTCAATGTATGTTGGTGATGTTTAGGTTTTGTCTTTGTTGTGCAATGTCTGTTGGTGATGTTTAGGTTGTCTTTGATGTTTAATGTCTGGTGGTGTTGTTTAGGTAATGTTGTTGTTCAATGCCTGTTGGTGATGTTTAGGTTATGTCGTTGTTGTTCAATGCCTGTTGGTGATGTTTAGGTTATGTCGTTGTTGTTCAATGCCTGTTGGTGATGTTTAGGTTATGTCGTTGTTGTTCAATGCCTGTTGGTGATGTTTAGGTTATGTCGTTGTTGTTCAATGCCTGTTTGTGATGTTTAGGTTATGTCTTTGATGTTCAATTCCTGCTGGTGTTTTTGGGTTCATTCATATTAGAGTGTTCCGTGTAGTGTCTGTGTCTCTGCATTAGATGGTCAATGTCTATCTAATTTCGGTGAAAAAGGAATATTGTTGATTTTAATTGCATCAAAACCTTTGTCAGGATTTAAAACTTTTTTTTTCAAAAAGTTGGAAAAAAAATAAGAATCCTACATATACCGTTTTCGACATAATCTTCGTCTACAACCATTTTAATTGCCACAACTGGAATGGAGGGGTCACTTGAGGGCGTCACGTTGGATATAATCTGGTAAAAAGAAAGTCAAAATAAAGTAAAACTGTTCATAAATATCTGTTTAAACTTTTAGCATCCCCTTATCGGGCCTCTGTCGCAACTTGGGACAGTCGCGGTTCGGTAGTCGTTCTGAGTAATGGAAAAACCCGGATACATTCTGCATTAAGTAGGTCAAACGTCGTTTTGCCGACCTCATTCCATGTAAAAATATTAAAATTGATCCGAAAATGATTATAATGTAAATCATTAACTACCTACTGCATGCGACAATCCCTCGTATCTCGGGGGAGGGGGTCGAGATATGTTCCTTACGTATCGAACCCGATCAAAACAAATAGATTTGCTAAGATTTTAACAGATTTTCTACTTCATAGAGAGTGGGTGGTATTAAAGTAATTCAGAGAAATCACCGTGAAATTACAGGTATTTTTCATAAAGCTCAACGGTGAAAAACCACCATGCTTGACATGGGACATTTGGCACTCGGCCAATCCTCAAGCTGAAGGAGTGGGCGATTTATGAATGGAATTCCCTGGCACTATACGAACGGTTCAACTATCCGGCACAAATTGTGATGGAAATCGACAAGTTCGACTTAGAATCTGTTATGAAGAATTCAATGGCACAAAGGCAGTTTCTTCATTTCCTACAAAGTACAAATCACCAGATGGTCCGTCTCCTTATTTCCGAAATAGGTCAGACTACTTCATGTCTCAATTTTACATTTAATCCTTGTAGTTTCGGACCCCAGTGGTCAGTTTACTGTCCGAAATTTTAGCCAAATATTGAGAGACGGGCATATATCAGGACCTACTTTGTTTTAAAATGAGATTTGTGTCCCACTTGTACTACATCCGTACACTTCTCCTGATAACGGCACATGTTTTATTGATGGAAGTTCACGCTTCGAGTAGGGGCCCACTGAAGGTTTTCATGATCAAATCTCATTATTAACTATGACTATCTAAAGAAACCGATATTTTCTGATTCTACTTGTACACCACGGTTCGTAAAGCAGGTGTTTTAAATATAGAAAAACCAGCAAATGTTTACATCCCAACAGAATTCGGCCATGCGGCCGTGTTAATTTTCTACACTGACCATAATGCTCCAGACAATTATACGTGTTAATAATTGAATCTATTTAACTGTTAATTTAAAATCAAAATAATTCTCATTCTGTATCAACTTGATCTACGGAGTACTTACGGATTATTTCATCAATCCATTGAAATGGCTGTTTTTTTAATTGATTTTGTGGGAGAAACACGCTGCGTCAAGTTGACAATGCTATCATTTTACAGTCTATTATAAATCATGCGAGACCCCGACCACATACCTTGTGTATCGACTACAAACTTAACAGCCTGCTGCTATGTAATTTATCACAAGATGCATGTACAATGTTTCGCTCTACAAGCCGCAATGTAACAGTGATATATATGTAATTAATAAAATATCGAAGACAAACACCCATTTACTTGCAATATTCAGAAGTTGGGGTTTTTCTAATTTTGTCCAAAAAACTTTCCACAGCAGATTTCCTTAAAAATGTAACTCATTCAAAAACAAAATGACAAAACTTACTTGGGGTTTTCGTGTTGTAACGATCTCCACTGGATCAGAGTTCGTCGTAATATCAACACTTCCTGCGGTATTAGAAGTTGCGGCTCGTGTTGCAAAATAAAAGGCTGCAAATATCACACAAAACAGTAAAACAACTCCTCCGATAAGAGCTAATGTTATTTTTAAACATTTTGACCTACACCATTTATTTTTCTTCCTTTTTTTTCGTCGATTTTTTTCGTCATTTCCATCGGGAGTATCCAAGAACTGTTTACGTTCCTGCAAATTATTATCCCGGTTCTGTTGGTCATCTATGTCCATTTCAAACGAATCCTTTTTAAAGTATTTTGAATTTTCTTCATAAATGTCATAACCACTTGACTGTGGAATGTTGATCGTCAGTGCGGACCCTTTACGCAATCTGTCTAGTCGATTTTCAACGCTGGTTTCATTCGTCTGAGGATTCTCTTCAACCTCATCAATCCGGACTGGTTTGTGAAAACTGTCCTGAAAAGACGATGGGAATGAAAATCCATGAGGTCCAATGGCATCTGGATTCGGCCAGCTCGGAGTAGGCATTGTTGTAGAGTCTGATTGTAAATAACTTACAGATTTAGAGAGAAATGCATCAACTCTTTCACAGGTATATACACCGGTAGCACATGTCCTCTCCATACACTCAAGTATTCACCACACCGACACGACCAGTATCAGATATGACACAGATCTAAACGTAACATCGACAATCGCGAACCCAGTTATATAACGCACTTCTTCCTTGTTTCTAAACGGTAAAACAACTGGCGATGTCTTCCCAGGCCTGAGAGACCTATCGTGAAAAGACAGAGATGGGATGAGTGACGTCATTCTTGTTCCGGTCGGGGTTTCCCAATTTGACAGCTGAGATCAGAGGCCCACTATGGGTAATCATTAGATTTTATTAAAATTATCACCCAATAGAATTTCATTAAAGATTACACATCACATGATTAGTGAAGGGCGTGCTTGTGACAAAGTCATAAAGCAGATATCAGAAAAGATGAAAATAAAATCATTTATACGAAAATTTACACTTCATAACTGATTTATAACTGCTAGTGGATTAATAGAAGGACGATACTCTTCCACGAGAAGTATTAACGAGTACGTCATCCATGTAGCATATAGGCGAAAATAACACTTGTAAGATATGCTTGAGCAAATTTCCAACGAAAAGAATAGCCTCAATGTACAGACTTTTCCAGTTATCCATCAAATATCTGAAACATACAATGTATGTATCATTATTCTCTTTATTTCCTCCAAGCTGAAGATTTTACTAACAGAATAATAGTCATTTACATATCAACGCATATACAATTGTTAACAATAACATTACTTGTGCATACTAGATATACATCAATTGAAAAACATAATTGGCAATTATAATTAAGAAATACAGTTCATTAATAGTTTCACTATCCTTATGATGTACATAATTCTTGTATAGAAAAAAAATGATATGAATTACACCTGTATTTTTACCTGAGATTTACCTGTGTTTCACAAAATACATTTCTTCATATTTGATGAATGTTGATATTGAAAGGTGTTTTTATCTAAGATAATAGATATATGAAATTTCACCACAAAAAAAAAGAGAATTATTAGATTTGACTAATCGGTACAAAATTGTATATCAACACAACAAATTATTATATTTGATGATTTAGCACTAAACAATACGAAGAAAGACTATAAATTGGGTTTTTTTCAGAGACACAAGTACTGGAAACAAAGAGAAAAGCACCTAATGATTTTGTAGGTAATGAACCTGCGGGTAATAATACTGAGCATGGAGACAATTTGTCACCATTGGCTGGTAGCTATCAACACACATTGAAATGAATTGTGTGTGATTGTTGCCTGTTCATGTGTTTCAAAGATTTATGGAATTGAAGGGACTAATTATTTTGTTTTTATTTCCAATAAATAAACATGTGGTATTAATGGCCGCCAATTGTCTGTATTTATTAACACAATGAATATTAGGTTAAAAGTAGCGACACACGTCAAAACATACCTTCTATCTGTTTCAAAGGATTTCCTTTAACTTATTTAACACAGCTAGAAAAGTTTTGAAAACTTTAAGTTAGTATAATTTAACCTTGTTTTAGATATTAATAACAATCCAGATTTATCGTGAGCTCTGGCATACACGTACATAAACTATAATGGATTTCTAATGCTCATAATTAATGTAAACTTTATTATCCCCCGCTTTCACCGAAACTGGGAATATTAATTTGGGTTCGTCCGTCCGTCTGTCTGTCACACTTTCGTTTCCGTGTTCTAACTTTCCCAAATACCATCCAATTTGGGTGAAACTTGGTCAGCAGATACATTAAGGGTCATTAAGACTGAGTTTGACTATCAGTGCCATCTGTTAATAATTATACATACTAATGAGATATCTTTTGATTTCATTGATCGGTTCATTTACTTACAACATGTTTGGAAAGCGGGGGATATAAATTGATGAATTTGCTTGTTTTACTTCATTTTTTCTCTTTACAAGGTACACAGTAGGGTTTAATCCTGTTTGTCCCAAAACTGAAAAAATCTGTCCTGTTTGTCCCAAAAACATTATGTACCCAAATAGGGCAGTGTGTTGTTATAACATTTAAGGTACCGGTGTGTGTTGTTTTAACAGGTAAAAAATTTGTCAAAAAAAAAAAAAAAAACAAAACAAAACAAATACAAATCTTATTATAACGTTAACTAATATATATGCATGTATGAATAATTAATATGAATTAAATAAAATAATTTAAATAGGATATTAGAAAGAAATGATTTTGTTAAAATATTCGCTGAGTCGCTGTTCTTCCACTACCACCACATCACATCGAGGACTGCTGGTTCAACGCCTTGGAGGACCTTGAAGACGTCGGTGTGTTCCCTGAACGCATACATGTCTAGAACAATAGGTAGAAACATCAAAGGGAGGGTAATTATAGTCTATATCATACATGTATTATATTTACCTGAGATATTTTACCTGTGGATCTACCTGTGTTACCTGTATTAACCTGTGATAACTTGCAGAAAGAAAACTAAGATATCAATATGAAGTTCAATATTTATTAACTTTTCTTATGATAATATTACAATTGATTAAATTTAAAATACATTTAATATAAAGAAAGAACACAAAGATGCCAATATTTATGAATATATTCTATCATAATAGCACAATTACCTTTAAATAACATGTAACTTCAACTAAAATATCAAGTTCAACATGTATGAATATATTCTATCATAATATTACAATTAACTTTAAATTCAAATCAAATCTATAAGGTACAATATTTTGATCTAAAGAAAGATCAATGTACAACATATCAGCACATAACTAAAGACATATATACAGCACTAGGAAATGATAAATATATGCAGCACTACTACAAAAACTTATAAATATACAGCACCAGGAAATGACAAATATATGCAACATGACTATGAATACTAATAAATACACTGCACTTATATGTCACACTATTAGAAACTGATTGATGTTACAGCACTAACGGCATATACGAGACACTAAAGACTGATAAGTGATAACACTAATTCAATGATGAATATATAGCACTGACATAAATATCTGCAACAATGACACAACGTACAAAGTCATTCGTTTTGCTCAGAGCAAGTCTAGGCAAGACATTTCAACCCAAGTGAAGAAGCTCAGATGCTGCATCAGCGTACGCAATGATGTCTATGGTGTTGCTCTCCAGTCTCTGTTTCAGCAGAGCAAGGCGGGTGTCAATGTTTCTGTACCTCTTGGGTCGGGGTCGTCTGGTTCCACCGGCGCGTCGTTGGAGTCTTGCAATTTCGTTGGTAGCCTGAATGTCTTTGAATGTCTGGATGATCTCGAAGATGTTTGGATGGGCGTGTTGCACAATCTTCTTCAGCTTCCCGTGCCAGGCTTCTAGGTGGTTGGTGGTACGTGGTCCATCGTTGTCGTAGTGGTTCCAAACTGGTCGGTCTCCATCCACCCATTGGTCAACAACATAGTCCGTGAATGGTGTCACGTTAGCTGGTAGGTCGGCGTACTCAATGTCCTGTAGTGCGTGAAACCAGACATCCTCAACTTGCTGCTCAGGTACCAGAGGTAGGACTGCTGCACGGCGAACCAGTCTCCTGATGTCTTCGTTGTCCCGGTATGGAAGCTGTAGTCCAGTCATCAGTGCCTTTCTCCAGACGCATTGGGTGTAGTGGAAGAAGCAGCCCTTGATATCGGTCCCTGGGAAGACGGTGCGGATTGCGTTGTGGACAGCTGTCTCAAAGTCAACGAATACTGTGTCGGGCGACATGGGTAGGTGGTTGTCTGCCATGAATGTCTTGAGTAGTGTGAAGAATCTTGTGTAGATGTGCTGACTTTTCCCGGGTAGAAGAGAGTAGACAACTGGGTACATGGATCCATCTATCTCAATGTGTATCGTGTAGATCTGATGAAAGATGTTGGGACACGTATAGAAAGTACCATCACAGTAGATGCGGTCGGCGGTGGCGAGCTCAGCCAAGTCCTATGATGTGGCGAAGACAAGGATTCTGTTCTGGTCACCATCGTCAATGTGTAGGAAGCGCTCTCCAGTGTTGGTTTCCGTCCATCTTCCCTCGAGATCAATGTCCTGGGTAGTGGTTGGTAGCTTTGGTGTAAGCTTGCGTCTGGCTCTGTACAGCTGTGACTTCTTGGAGTTAAAGGTGGGTATCTTCTCTACAACGGTTCTTGTCTCTTCATCCCATTCGTTGTCACGCAGTTTGCAGAGTTCCTCACTGTAGATGGTAGGGATTGGTCTGATTTCTTTCTGGCAGCGGTCAGTGATGCAGTTCATGATCATTTTCATTTATTTATTTATTCATCAATTTACTTTTTATCTCTAATCATTTCTTCCTTATTGCATACATAAGAGCAAAAAAGTCCATTGATACAATTTATGAGTTTTTGTTTCAAGGATAGAATTAACAAAATATTTCTTTTTACAAAACAACTTTTACATCAGTATTTACCTTTCTCCTCGAGATGATCTAATTCTGTACAAGTAACCATTATATGATAAGTTGTTACCCCCAAGTCTATTTCTAATGAACTTAAAATTTAACTGAGCGTTAGCCATGATTGGGAATTGAAACACTAGAAGATTTGTTGAATGATAGCAAAGTAAATTATACCAATGTGAAAAATGTGTTAGCTTATATAGATAAACTGCATGAATAGCTTGGATACTCACCTCAAAGTGTCATGTCATCTGTAGCTTTGGTCCTATTAACTGAGTTCATCAGTTTTTTAATTGATCTTTGAGAGGTGAACAGTTTTAGATCAATTAATTTATTTAGCAAACATCATTTGAATATAAAATTTACTATACAAACACTTTTTAAAGAAAATAATCAAAATAATCATATCAAGCAGTTATTGTGATTTGAATAAATGAAATTGAATGCATGCATAATTGTGCATAAATTAAAAAATATTAACACAAAATTGTACACAATTTATATCCTTCATCTTGTAAATTGAACATTTCTTAAATAATTTGTTTAAAGTTTATATATATAATCCATACACTTGTAATTTCTTCTTTTTTTTTTACTTTAAATAAGTCTATTATACACTATATGTCCTCATCTGTAATTTCCCACCCTAAAATCAGGATGCCTGTACACTCACAGGTAAATACAGGTAACTTGTACAGGTAAATATAACTACCTACACAAGGAAACAGACTATAATCACTGTGTAAACATATCACCCAAGACATGTTTTTAAAATGTATGCGTTCGGGGATACAGCCAAGACGTCGACCTACGTAGATACAATCACTGACTACGTCACCACCCAATGGATAGAAGGAGGCCGACAAGTTTGGAACCACTTCAACAACGATGGACACAGGACCACAAACAACTTGGAAGGATGGCATAGCAAACTCAAGAAAAAGATCCCACATGCACATCCAAGCATTTTCATATTCCTCAGAGAATTGAAAGACATTCAAGCTACCAATTACATTAACCGCCTACAACATGCTGCTTGAGGACTGAATTTGAAACCATGTCACGTCGCAGAAAAAACACGAATAGAAATGAAATGCTACAGGTGTATTGTCAGCTATTGTTTGCTTGTCACGTAAATTTTCGCTGTTTAACTGTACTTGCGTTAATGATATATAAAAATATAACGACTTAATTATAATATTCTTCCCTTCATTGATTTTGTCTCTCCGTGTTTTATCTTGATTGTTTTCTCCATCGTTAAATAATAAGTATTCAATGAAAATTAATTCATACTTGGTACTACACAAAATCAAATTAATTTTCAGTCACAAAGATATGAAGTTTATTAATAACCTGCTGTCTATTTCAACAGAAAGTCCCAGAGATAAAAATGATACCTGTATATTCATCACTGCATATCAATTAATACACAACAGTTGAAGTTCACCATATAAGGAATTCTAACGCTCATGGAAATTCCCGAAAAATCTTTAACAGCTTCGTGGGAGGAAATGCATTGCATCTGTTTATTTAGTATGAATAAATTATGCAAAATATGTAGTTTAAGGTTGTCATAAATGTTGAAAATAAATTAAGGTTTTTTGATAGTGTTAGTATTTTGTAGGCGTTTAGGTCAGATCCTCAAACAAATGCTTTTAAGTATACAACGTTTCTTCTTTAGAACCAGGAACGTCAAGTCTAAGCGATTCGTCCCGGAAAACAAACAAATTGATGCTGAGAAAGCGCTCTGATGTAAGTAAGAGTCATTGTTTAAAAAAACTCTCCATCATCTTTGATATTTCATTTTGATTCTGGACTTACGAACTCGCTCGATTGATACATGTGCTGGAGCTGTCGGAATAGCATGATCAACTTTGTAAATAACTGAAGGATATAGCACATAGGTCCAAAAGCCCTCAAAAAAAAAAAAAAAAAAATAGAATTTTTAACATGAATCTGACATTGACCTCGCCAATGGATATATATTTTATCATAGTTATCCTGCAGCATGCTTGTATTATTTTTAAAGAATAAAAAAACATTAACTCTTTGGAGTAAAAGTTTTAGATTGTTTTAAGAATTTAAGATGGAAACCCAAATGACGTTCCAATCCAGCAATCTACTTATTCCTCCTAAATATTGATTTAAACATATTCCTGTTTGTATCTTTGTAATACAAAACAGATTGAGCACAAGTTGTCCAACTTATTCAAAGCCTTTTCCCGACATTCTCGGCCCCTATCGGCTGACAGAGTGAAAACAAAGGGCAGTAACTCTGGGAGATCAGAATGTTTCCAAATAGCATACTACAATAAGATCTAATGATTTTAGTTAATTATTTAAACAAATTCAATAATGAAAATCACCTTGTATATTTCGAAATATACATTAAACTGATTGTTAAATGGACACAATAGAAATGCGATCAATGTGGTCAGTGACGATGCAACCGTATATCTAAGTACGGTGTGGGATTTCATGGTTATGTTTTTTAATAAAGTAACCAGAACTTAAATGTACTTGATATAAGTTCAGGTATGTATGGTCATACAAACCTATTTATGGATATAGGATATTCAGTCATCAAATTTTGAATGTTTCCCAAGAAAACAACAATATTTCGTCATTATGACTTAGTCAAAAGCTAGGACAGGCCAAGACATGAAATCGCAACGTTGATACATTGCAAATAAAGACTTAAAGTGTGTCAATATCTTGCATTATTCATTTTATCTTGTCGGAGTCAAAAATATCACTCTGAAATCTTTATACTTACACACAGTGATAACTCATGTAGGTATGTTAAGGTGTAAAGGTCATTCCTTGCATTATACAGACTGTAAATGGGAGATGATTGCTTACATCCTTTGTTTAGAGACAGGTTAGATATATAGGTGTGATTTGAAAACAGTAAATGAAAATATCAATTTGTTGAAATGGCGTGATCAACGACACAAAGAAGCGCCACCTACAGTACTGCTTCCGGTAAAATATGGCATGCAGTTCATTCACCTGGCTACCAAAAAATACACTGTAAGAGGATGGAAGATATAAATTCAAATTTCAAAACCATGGTGGGTGTCAAAATCCCTATCATATCTCTATATATGGACACTTTTCCTGTCATTGGCTGCCACGGGGTTGACGTCTATCAAAATATCCCCAATTCTAAGTATACATTGTGTATATTTACAAAAGTTGATTGGTTCCAGTGACATACATCATCGCGTTATGTCACTTCACAGAATGAAATTATGTAATTAACGAAAAACACTTAACAGTTTTAAGTGATGAAGCAGTTTTTGAAAAGATATAGATAATATACATTGAAAAGAAAAGTGGGTTTGTCAAATATTGTGAATACTTGTGTGTGTGTTTTTTCGTTTGGGTTTTCCCCTCAATATTTGATCACGATAAAAGAGTTAAAATGGAATAAACATATATCCACAGTTTAAATAACTAATATTTTACTGAATTGAAGGTTTAAAAAATGTCAAATTCAAAACAGTTTAATGTCGTGACTGTGGCCCCAATGGGAACTTCCGATGTGTCATCTACATTCGGAAGGCACTTCAATCAAAATTATTGATATCGACGACACGAGTGTTTAAGGGCTGAAAGTTTATTTCAACTTACTATATTGTACAATCAAGTTTTCTAAAAAGCTCTTCTCAAATTTCAGTTTCGAAAACGTGTAACTTTGAAGTGTGTCAATCGAGAAATGTATGGATCACTGAATTTGAACACTACGGTGGAAGTCCGCAGTATGTTGAGGAAACTCTAAATCGTTTCATTATAACAAAATATTTAGTCTCGGAAAAAGAAATAGGAATCTGTTTACAATGTCTCGTCATTCAATAAATATTTCACACCGTGAATTAATTAGTCATTCTGCCGAGGCAGGTGTTGGACAGCATACAACTTATCACGAGTGAACTGTTCAAAATACATACATAAACACATTAGGTAAAACCCGTATTTTAATCAGATAGAAATGATCTGTTTAATTGTAAAACGAGTGACCTCATTTGCTTTATATTCATCTTTTCGTGGAGTTATCGGAAATTCAAAAATACAAATAAGTTAAGATATAAGAACGATTAAACCCTGTTTAATTTGTGGAATATATTGAAATATATTTCTAAAATCACGTGACCAGAGTCCGAGTATTAATTTAAACTAGTTACGATAATTATCAATGTTGGTAACATAGAGCACGTGGTCTGAGATCAGAGGTGATGGGTTGCGCCAGAAATGAGGAGTGTGAAATTGACATGTTGGTCACTGTAAACGACAAATTTTAATCATCTCTTTTCAGAATACGTTTTATGTAGAATGAAGGACTTCTAATGGTGTCAAAGGTCACTGTTGGATTCTCGCTAACGACGAGATCAAGAAACCACAAGAATTTCCATTTAAATCTACTTTTTGTTT